ATAAGTACTACATTTAAAATCTATAATGATCTATCATAGCAACAACAAAAAATCTTACCAAAAAATTGAAAATACACATTACAGGTCCCTGGTCTTCCTTGTAGGAAAGTATCTTTGCTAATCTAAATACATATTTGTTTGATTCCCTACTGTTTATATGCAGGCTTTCTGTGATCATATTGGTTGCTGGTTGAATGAGACCGTAGATTTCACCACCAAATATGTAAATGGTGTGCCCGCAATATTACTTGTAAAGTCTCCTATAAATGGAAAAAAACAATCTTTTTTGTACATTTTATAGCCATATTTCCTCTGTATATATGATTAACATAATTATAAAATTAATAAATGATGTGGCCCTGCTCTTGGTATTTAGAAGCTGCAGTGCTGCTGAGAGTTATTGTTTGACTTTATTGAGATTAAAATGAAACAAAATCAATGTCAATAAGAAAGAAGACTGGTTAATCAAGGAAAATATAGGAAAGGATGGTTGGTCTCAGACAGAAATAGTCTTTGTCCTTCTAAGCACTGACTGCAAGAAAAAGATGACCTCATCAAATTTGAAGTTGAACACCTTGTCTTGATACTGGTCCGCCATGTTGTTGGCTCCAGCTGTCTAGTAATGTCAATAAACATTAAAATCATACAGTAGACTTTCTCATTTTTACTTACTGCTTGCCAGGCAGCCCTCAGGTGGCCTGCCATTTGGTTTATATGCACTACTATAGACGGATTCTCTGAGCACTTATTTATATATATTTCATTTTATTGAACTGATTTTCACTCTGATGAGCACTAATGTGAATCAGAGTGCTAGACCAAATCTCAACAAGCTGACACATGAGACTCAAAAAGACTCAGAAAGATAAGGTTCTTCACTACGTCAGTGATACATATCTAGATGAAAATTTCTGAGATTTCACATGTAAGTACATGATGAATGCATACAATGTTATGTCAGTTGTAAAAATATTTCAAAATGAAAAATGAATAATTATATGCATGTTTCAAAAACCCATACTACACCCCTCGAAAGGTATGCAATGATCATAAACCAGAAATTGCAGTTTTGTTTTTTTATTGTGAGATATGTTTTTACATTTAATCACTGTACATCTTGATAGCATATGAAATGGCTTTTTAAAGCATGCTTGCAGTGTGTGTCAATTAAGTCAGTGATATTACCATATATACATCATTTTCAACAGAGAACTTTCCATTTCTGTATCTGTTAAATTTTTTTGTTTGTTTGTTTATTTGTTTGTTTTTTTCCTGACACCCTCTCACCCACCCTGTGCTAATCACCACTCTCCTATACAGTCTCTGGTACCTACAATTGTCCCCCTTATTAATATATCTTCAAACTGTGTATTTCTTTCTTTTTTTTAATTTACATTTAACCACTACACATCTTTACAGCATACAAAATGGTTTTCCCAGCATTAATAAAATGCATATTAGTCAAGTCAAAGGTAAGACGACTTATGTTATCATCACCACATAATTTTCCATTTTTGTGTCTGACAATTTTTTTCCTGATCTGTTTTCTCCCATTTCCTAATACTCATCCCCTTCATTGCTGTCTCTTTTCTCTAGTTGCCCTTCCTGCTGTTACACCTCCCAGTCTTCCAGTTTCCACTTTAGAGTGCAGACTTTTGGTATATATTAAGCAAATGCACACAATGCCTCCCTTTCATGGTCTGACTTGCTTTGCATAGCATTAAATCTTCCATATTAATCCACTTTGCATCAAAGGCCATGGTCCCATTTTTTTTTAATGGCTGAGTAGTATTCTGTAGTGTACATAAAATTTTAAAATGCATAAATAAGCAAATGCTTTACTACTTCTAAATCTTTTTTTTTCATTTTTAGAGACTTTTTTGCTATAGGCATGTGCACCCATCAGAGAGACAAAGATAGAGAAAAAGTGAAAAATCACCTCCCAGATGGGATGACCACACCCAGTCCCTTCTCTTCCATTTTCATATTGGGATTTAGGGTATGCACACACATACTCCTAGCATGAATTTCAAGCCTCTGGGTCTAAGACTTGAACCATGATCTGCAATGTGAGTCAACATCTTAACCACTATGCCACCTGCCAACTCCAAAACCTAGAAATCTTTTTAAACAATCTCTGAAATTCTGAGCCAGCTGGAGTGAAAACAAAACAAGGATCTTTCTTTTCTTTTTTTCTTTCTTTTTTTTTTTTTTTTTTTTTTGGAGAGGATTTTGCCCTAGGGCACATATATTTGCTGTAAAGAGAGAGACAGAAACAATGAGAGGGAAAGTGAGAAATCACCCCCTGGGGAAATGGCCAGGCGACAATCTATTCTCCTCCTGCGATCTTGGGCATGCAAACACATGGGCCCAGCATGAGTTTCAGCCCATCAGGTCCAGGACTCGAACTGTGTTCAGCTATGTAGGAGTCCAGCAATGTAACCGCTATGCCATCTACTGGCCCCCAAAAAGGCATACTTTTATAGCAGATAGCCCAGATATTTGTGCTACAGGTTGTTTGAAACTTTGTAGTATAAGAGAAAAATTTCTCGAAACTATTGATTATAATATAATGTCTTAATATAATGTCTGTCAAGACGGACATTCCACTAGCCTTCCTTGGATGAATCTAAAGTTACTCCCATCTCTAATCATTTACAACACTCATTAAATAATGTAGATGATCTCAGTTTCTGAATGATATTCTTAATATTATCATGGATCTTAGAAAATATATTTATACTTATAATAGAAAAGGGAGTGATCGCTTTTTCTATGTGTTTACATTAGTCATAATTAAATAAGAACATTGGTTTCTTTTCCCCTGCTACATATTTCAGCAAACTGAAGAATGAATGAATACTATGAATAACTTAATAGCTTACTATTTTGAATTCATAATAATAATTTTAAAAACCTGTTTAATAGGGCCAGCAGGTGGCGTCATGATTAGGGATGCTGGACTCCCACATGACTGACTGCGTTTCAAGTCCCGGACCTGGTGGCTTGCTTTCTCACTTTCCTTCTCTCATCCTCTCTCTCTTTCCTTTTCAGGTCAAATTAAAAATAAATAAATATATAAAGTTTAAAAAGAACTATTTAGTTATCTTTTTAAATATTATAATTAAGTGTATAATTACAATATTATTTGAGTCTTATAGTTCAATATAGTCCCAAATTTAAAATGGTTTGACCTAACAATTTTTTAACTTTATTATAGTTCAGGCTATAATTTCTTTTCCTTTCTATTCTTTTTAAATAGAATGACTTTGGCTTAAAATAATAAAGATTGGGCCACCCTTAGTGTGGCTGGTTTCCATATGGCTGACTGTGCGGTTGGAACCCCAGACTCAGCAGCTTGAAAAACATGACAACATATGTGCATATGTGCCCAAAATCTTGAAAGGAGGGAGACGAGGAGAAGGGATTGTGGTGTCATCATCCCCCTGGGAGAGGGTACTTTCTCATTTTTCTTCTTTCTCTCTCTCTCTTTTTCTTTCCAGTGAGCACATGCTGTCTGGCAAATTTAAAAAAGAATAATAAATTAGGATTGCATTCTGTTTTTCATTTTCAGTATAGTATTCAGTAAATTATATAAGTTACTCAACACTTTTTGTACAAAATAGACTTCGTGTTAGATGAGTTTGCTGATTTATAGTCTTATATAATTTTTCCAAGCAAGCTTAAGATAGGCCAGGCTAAGCTACGATATTTGAGAAGTTATATGTATTAAATAGAATTTCAGCTCACAGTATTTTCAGCTTATGGTAGGTTTTTGAGGATGTAACTCCCCTATAAGTCAAAGAATATTTGTATCTTGTGTGTGTGTGTGTGTTTATTGCAAACAGCATGTATATCTTAGATGGGTGCTTGTGTGTGTATGTCTGTGTGTGTATGCTACGAATATATTTACTTAGATCTGGTTGCAGTATTTGTCTTTCTGCTGGTTAGAGAATTGATTGAATGATTGTTGGGGATGCATGTGTAGACCTTCTTCGTTGACTGTCCTATGGAGATCACAACAGAAGTTGCAAGGATGACCTTAAACAGAAGAGATTCGAGAGCATATGCGTAAGCACGAATATATGTAAATTAAATTCCATAGTGTACATAAAATTTAAAAAACAAATAAGTAAATGCTTTAATACTTAGAAATGATTTTTACAGAGGTTTTTATTTTTTTTTTTTGCTATAGGCACATGTGCTCACCAGAGAGACAGCGATATGTAGATGAAGCTGCTTTCTAAAAGTAATCCTAGTTAGTAGCAGTGAGATAATATGAGAAGTGTTCTGCTTAAAAAGAAAATCTACTATTGATAATTTTGTAACCCATGAAAGTATCTTAGTTTTCCTGCATCTCAGTGTCTTCCTCAGTGTAAATTTACAGGACTTAAAATACACAGTCCCTAGGCCAGCAGATGGTGCAATGATTACATTGCTGGACTCACACATGGCCAACTGTGGTTTGAGTCCCAGAACCAGTGGTTTGGAACTCATTCCACATGTGTGTGCATGTGTGCCCAAGATCCCGGAAGGAGAATGGAGAAAAAAGGATTGTGTCATGGTCATCTTCCTTAGGGAGTGATTTTTTCACTTTTTCTCTCATTGTCTCTTTCTGCCTATCCATCTCTCTCTCTCTCTGGCAAGCGGACACACTCTAAGGAAGAAAAAAAACTCAAAATAATAATAAAATAAAATGCATAGTCTCTTAAAATCCTTTGTAGCTTAGAAAAATCCATGAACTTCTGATCCTCTTGTATAATGCTTCTGTTTTTCTAAGTACTACTGAAATGAATATCTTAGTTTAATCCCAAATCATGAAGGTCCATTTCCATTATGTATTTGTTTAAGTTTAGGGTGTACATAATTATAAAACAAAAGCTTGACAGATGATTGTCCTACTTTTAAAGCCATAAGTTACGTGTTACTAACACAAGCTGGTCTTTTAGAAAATGGAAACAAATCTGATCAACTACGTTTATTTCCATCTGTGTTCACAGGAAATCCAACACAATTGCCAGCTTCATAGAATATCATTTTGTGCAGATGATAAAACTGACAAGAGGATATTCACTTTCATATGCAAAGATTCTGAGTCAAATAAACATTTGTGCTATGTATTTGACAGCGAAAAGTGTGTAAGTATGCCAGATGTTTTAGGGTGGTTTGTTCTTTGTTACTAGCCAGGATTTGTCTTGTTTCCTGCTTTAGTAAAGTATTTGGAAATGAATAAGATCTGCAAATACTTAACTGCACTAATAGATTCATCCTGTCATGAGAATATGCTACAGGATTTCATCCTTAACTCAATTCTTATGTTCACGGGCATAAGCTTGCATGCAAACTTCTTTTCTTAGAACATTATGCTTGCTTATGTTATTCATTTAGTTTTCTTATATTTATTTAATTTATTTGTAATTTTAATCTCAAATATCATTTAGTAATATGCATAGAATGTAAAGACTATTAATGAGCACATTTTTTTTTCCTGGAATGTGATGGATTAGATAAAAATAAATTTTCTAAACTCCAGGAAATAAATTTTTGTATGACTCTTTAAAAAGTTTTCTAATGCTTTGCAAATTTGGTTCTCAATGTTCATTATTCAAAAAACTCAATAATGAAAGGTATTGGAATCATTGTTCTTGTGTGTGTGTGTGTGTTTGTGTGTGCATGCACATGCATATATATGTGTGGTCTGAAGGTAATCTGAAGTCCTTAGCAAGTGAATTCAAGTGGAGAATTCCAAAGTTAAGTCCCACAACAATTCCTTAATCACGTGGAATCTTGATTACAGACATAAGCTAACCATAACCTAGTCAGTTTCTGTTATAAAATATAAGATGTGAATTCCAAGCACACACTGAAGCCATTGTTGGCTTCAGTGAAGGAAGAACATCTAATCTCAACAAAATTATTGGTTTAGACAGAAAACAAAACTTAATCTATTTGTTAATTTTTCTTGCTGTCAAATACAGCAGAAGACTAACATTATTAGTATTATGTAATCTATTTTTCTGGCATCGGTATGAACGTTTTGAGAACAAATACATTTTTCTTTGTCTATGTAATTCTTATATCAGGTGAACAATTGATGCTTAATGAGTTTTTCCTTCAGGAAAAGACCATGATGAAATTTTACCAAAAATAGAGCAAGTTTTTACCTCTATCTTGTAGATTATAGTATTCTAAAGACGCAAGCTAATGGGCTAAGCTGCTTGACAGCATAACACCTCTTAAGTATTTTGGTAAGAATTATGGAACCATCTCATCAGAAATATATACTTACCTATATAAGTCAATACTGTTTGTACAGTAAAGCATTTTATATAAAATCCAAATAGCTTTCAAAATGTATCCTATCAAATGAATGCATTATATTTACATATTTCAAGTGCATCTTAGTCATGATGGTTGGCAGATGTTATTCTCCATGTGATTGAGGAGATTAAAGTTGATACATGTTGAATTTTTTTACATGTAGTTACTAGAATTTGAAGTCCTTTGATTAATTTTTACTTTGGATATAGCGCATTAGCTTTAAAAATATATTTTTAAAGTCTGCAGTGATTCCTAATCATTAGAGTTCATAAGAATCATAGAGTGTGACTTTCAACATATAGTTCTGTGGGTCTCACTTCAGAAAATTCTTTTCAGTTAGGACCAGAGCAAAAGAAATCTACGTTTAGTAAGTTCGCCATGTGATTCTGCTGCAGGTAGACGGAAGTCTTAGCTTTCAAAGGGATCCAAGCTATCTCTTCAACTATAATTTGATAACCCTTTCATAAACTCAGAAGGAGCATGCTTCTTCCAAATTTCTTTATATCATCTTCACTATGAGGTTTTATTCACTCTAAGTATAATTGCTATATTCAAAATTTGATTTCATATGTATGTAGAATTTTTATTTAAGAGAGATTTTTGCAATAGGTTTCAAGTGCTCACTGGAGAGACACAAAGACAGAAATTGAGAAATCATCTCCCATCAGGGGGGATGACCACACCACAATCTCTTTTCTTCCATTCTTCTGTCAGGATTTTTCTTTTTCTTTTCTTCTTTTTTTTAGAGGTTTTTGCTATAGGGCGTGTGTGCTCGCCAGAAAGACAAAAGAGACAGAAAGCAAGAAATCACCACCCCCTCAAAAGGGGATGATGTCCACACCACAGTCCCTTCTCCTCCATTCTCCTCTGGGTATCTTAGGCACGCACACACATGCGCCCAGCATGAGTTTAAGCCATCAAGTCCAGAACTTGACCCACGGTCAACCACATGGGAGTCCAGCGACATAGCCATTACACCAACTGCTGGTCCCATCTCCTCTCAGGATTTTGGACATGCACACATATGTACCTGACATGAGTTTTAAGCCACCAGGTCTGGACTTCAACTGTAGTTGACTATGTGGGAGTCCAACAACATGACCATTACACCATCTACTGATTCCTGGAGTATTTTTGGTTTTTTGTTTGTTTGTTTGTTTGTTTTGAGAGGTTTTCACTATAGGGTGCGTGCGCTCGCCAGACAGACAGAGACAGAGAGACAGAAAGCGAGAAATCACCCCCTAGGGGGGATGGCCACGCCACAATCCCTTCTCCTCCATTCTCCTCTCGGGATCTTGGGCATGCACGCACACGCGCCCGGCATGAGTTTTAAGCCACCGGGTCCGGGACGCAAACCGCGGTCGACTACGTGGGAGTCCAGCGACATAGCCATTACGCTAACTGCTGGTTCCCGATTCCTGGAGTATTTTTGATATGCTTTTTTTTATAATTATGATTTAAGTGATCATTTAGTATTAAATTGGTAAATGAATTATGACCTAATTGGCAAATTTCTGTCTTTTTATTTTAAGAAACAATTTTCAGAGAGGTTAAGCTAGTTCCCAATGTTATAAAATGAAGTAATAACAGAATCGGTTCTAAAATCTAAAATTTTAGATTACTATTATTTCATTTGTCATACAATATATTACTCCCATAACTGTGATCTTGTACAGAGTCTGCTTGTTCCTATTGGGGCCTTTACTTTAGCTATTTTTATTTTATCATTTCAGTAATCCTGTGGAATTAAAGGGTTTGAAAGATAGATGAAACCTATCCTAGTATGCTACAAGACTAGAATTCACTACTTTAATATTAACATGTTGTCCTAGTCCCTCCTTTCAACTGACAAAAAGAGACCACACGGGGAAACAGAATACTCAACGCTGCTGAATGACGAAGGTGAACATCTATCTGCACGAGGCATTAATGAGGGTGTGCTTTACAACCCTCTTTTCCCCTTTAGGAATATTGTGTCGGAGAAGCCACCTAAAATAGAAAGTAAAATAATTTACAGAATTTCATAACATAATAGCCAAAATATTCATGATTCAAATGAAAATCACTGTTTTTGTTTGTTTGATTGTTTTTTGACATAGGGTGTGTGCACTTGACACAGAGACTGAGTGAAAAGTCAACCCCCAGGGGGGAGTAGCCATGCCACAGTCCCTTTTCTTCTGTTCTCTCAGGATTTGAGCATGCATCCACATGCACCTGGTGTGTTTTTCAAGCCAGCATGTCCAGTTCTTAAACCATAGATTTGACCATGTCAGTCGCAGTGCCTTAACCACCATGCCATCAGCTGGCCCCAAAATCACTATTTTTCCCTAAAACCAGAAAGATCTTAAACTAAGTGAAGAAAAGAAAACCAATAGATCCTAACACTGAGATGTCAAAGGTATCACAATTATAGGACAAAGATTTTAAAACAATTATCAGAAAACAATAAGCTGAAGTTACAAGGAAACCTGAAACAAAAGAAAAAGTAGAAAGTCTTCTCAAAGAAATTGAAAATCTAGGCAAATAACTGGAAAATATAAAGATCCAGCTATACAAATAATTACAAATAAAAAATAGGATAAGCTTATGAAAACCTTAATGTGAAAAAAGCTGAGTAGAGGGAGGAGAGGAAAGATGTAATGACTTAGAAGATTGGCACGTAGAAATAAAATTTCCAATCTGAACAACTAGAGATAATAGGTGCAACTGTGCACACACACACACACACACACACACACACACCAGTTACAAATTAAAAAAACAAAAATGAGCAGAACCACAGGGACCTGTTCCCTATTTTCTATAACAACATAATATAAAAAATTTTAAAAACTCAAAACACAGTCAAAAGTTTATATTTCTTTTCAGCTGACATAAACCTATGTCAAAAATTGAGTGGGTGCCAGCAGATGGCGTGGTAGTTAGAGGCACTGGACTCCCACATGGCTGACCACCATTGGAGTCCTGGACCTGGTGGCTTGCTTTCTCACTTTCCTGTATCTCTCACTCTCTATATCTCTCACTCTCTTTCTCTGTCTCTCTCTGGTCAAATTAATTAAATAGATAAATCTAAATGAAAGAATTTTTAAAAAATTTTGAGTGAATTCCAAACAGGATTAGTGCAAATAAATCCAAATAAATCAACACTAAGACATCATAGTCAAACTTACAAAAACTAAAGAAAAGAAAAATATTGAAAGCAGCAAGAGATAAATAAGACTCACTTATGGCACACAATCAATTTAAATGATAGAGTGTTTCTCATCAGAAACTGTGATGGCAAGAGGGAAGTAACACAATACTTTCCGATTGCTGAAAATAAAATGATCAAAGACGAATCCCATATGTAGTAAAAATATACTTCAGGAAATAAAAAATTAAGGGACCAGCTGATGGCATAGTGGTTGATGCTGGATTTCCACATAGTTGACCACAGTTTGAGTACTGAACCCAGTGACTTAAAACTCACACCAGGCACATGTGCATGCGTGTCCAAAATCCCAAGAGGTGACTGGAAGAGAAGGTATTGCAGTGTGGCCAGCCTTCCTAGGGGTAATTTCGCACTTTCTGTCTCTATTTCTCTGTCTCTCTGCCAAATGCACACACTCTATAGCAAAATTCTCTCTAAAAAATGTAAAATGCACTAGATGAATGAAAATTTAGATTGTCACTACTAGACATACCCTAAATAATAATGGCTAAAAGAATTCTCTAAGGAGAAAAGAAATAATAGAAAGAAACTTAGAGTATGAGAAAGGAAAAGGGGAAAAAAAGGATTTAGTACACATATGTATTAATCTTCAATTTTCTACATTAT